GGGGCGGGGTTGGGTTCGCGAACGGCCACATCTGGGCACGGTGGCCTGCGGCGGTGCTGCTGCTCGTAACCGGATTTGGCCCGGACCCCGACGCCGACGGATTAGCTGCCGCCGCCGACACCGGAAGCATCCAGAAGGTGTTCCCGGTTGCTCTGCTCCCCGGCGTCAACGCCCACAACGCCGCCTCCGCTGACGACATATCGCTGTTCTTCAGGGATTTGTTCACCGGATCGGTCTGATTGTTCTGGTTGCGATAGTCGTTTTCCTTCGACAAATCATCGGATCTGTGTCGTTTTCTCCCGAAATTCTCGCCGTCTGCTCCCGGAATCCCCTCCTCCGCCTGATCTGACGCGGCGGCAGCCAACCGCTGATTCTGGTTGTGGTGTTGTTGTTGCTGAAGATGGCTCCATATAAATGGCGGCGCGTGGCCCCCAAACGCGCTTACCTGTTCGTCGTACTGATGGTGATGCTGACTCAGCCCTAGCGCACCATACAACGGCGCCGACTTCGACGACGGAGCTGAGAGCGTCGATCCGCTACTACGGAGCGAGACATTGAGAGAGGAGAAGTTCGCCGGAATCGTTCCGGTCCCAGTAGCGGCGATGATCGCCGGTTCCGCCTGCTGGAGAAGCCATTCGATGGTCTCGCCGTCGGACTTGTGGCCGAGCTCCCTCGTCAACTGGAAAACCCTCGCTGCACACAGTGCCGGCATCCTGATCCGCCGCCCTCTCCCATCGACCTTCGTGTGCCTGTCCTTCGTCGACCGCTTCGCCGGAACCACCGCCGTTGAAGTCGTCGCCGCAGAGCCTCCACCGCCGGATCCGGAGGCAGAACTGTCGTTGCTTCGAACATCTGCGAGGTCCATATCCTGTGACAGAACTCCAGATTCTCTTCGTACACTCCCGACAAGCCAGAAAAAAAAAACTCACAAAAAAAGTATAAGAGCGATCTTCAAGAGTTAGAGTTTCGAGAAGGAGACAGAATCCGCCATAGTTGCTCCAATTGCCGTATTCTTCTTCTTCCTCTCTTTGACTCTTGTCTTACTCGCCGGATTTTCCGGAGATAGAGAGAGAAGAAGAGGTTAGGGTTCGTGTTCGATGGTGGAGAAGCAGGTGGGGTTTGGGCGAGGAGGAGGAAAAAAAAGTAAATATAAAAAAATAAAAAGTTTTTTAAAAAACGGAGTAATATTAAATGGAAATTAAAATAAAAAAAGATAAATAAAATTAATGAGGGTGAAGAAGAAGTCCACTCGTGGGGTCTCGTGAAAGGAATGTTTAAAATCGGCCTTTTTGTTTGCGTCAATTCTTCACAAATTTCACCGTCCTTGCTTTCCCTCCCTCTTTTTCGTTTCATTAAAATTCCTCAATTATTTATTTTCTTTATTTAAAATTAAATCTCATCGGTGTCAGTGTCCTCGTGTCCTAAGATTCTCACACAAACTTTTATACAAAAAATAGAAATTATATTGACGGATATGTAATTTTGATTATATAGTATTATCTAAATAATTGAAATCATGAGCTCACACAACCATGCTTCGCATTTCGATTAATTACCTCGAAAAAACTTGAAATTTTACTAGCGAAAGACTCAAAATTCAGAAATAGTAAGAAAAATAATTTTAAACGATCAGTTTCCATTTAAAATGCAAGTAAATCGAATAACTGAATTAAATCTGTTATAAATATTCATTGAATATATATTTTAAATTAGATTTAGTTATTCATAAATCGAATCCCAATTGATTTAAAAAAAATAAATTTAAAATCAATACAAATCTAGTCTAAATATATACAATTTTTTGAAATAAAAAATTAAATAAAGAAAATATAACTAAAATTCGAAATAATCACATAACTATACACAATTTTAGGAAATACATATCAAATGCAAAGTAATTAATCTTATACATCTAGTGAGATATTAAGAGCCTTTTTTTTATAATCAACCTTTGGAATGTTGTTGCATTAAAATTAATATGAATTCAGAAAGGTATAAAGGGGAAAATTTTGTTAAATATAATTTTTTATATTTTCTATAAATATGATTTATAATTTTCAAACCAAAGATGAATCTCATAATTTCCACATTGCATTGTTTTATTTATTTATTTATTTTAAGCATTCAGCATTGCATGCCATGCATCGACGGATGGTATAAGAAGGTGATGAAGTCACTTTCATTGTACAAAGACTTTTAAACCAGAAAAAAAAAAAATTTGTTTAAATATAAAATATAATTTTAAATTGATATTTTTAAGTATTTGTATAAAAATATTATGTTAGAATATGGATTTTCAACAATCAAATCAATATAAATTGACATCGGATTACCCCCCCCCAATACTAACAAATTTATTTTAGAAAAAATATAAAATATTGACTACAACATCAATAATACAATTATATAATATATCAGTTTCATAATTGTTTGAAAAAACTAGTACATGTAATTATTATGTGTTTGAAAAATGTGTACACTAGAATGAATACAAACATTTACATGTTGTTGCTGAATATAAATAAATGTAATTTTGTTTTTTATTAATTAATGGATTTAATTAAGGAGATGGAGAAAATCAGACAGTACAGATAGATAAGCATCGCCAGGAAAGCGTGCATAAAAAGCAGGTGGGGACAGCTCATCCAAATCCAAATCCACCTACGTATCACAAATTATTTATAGTTTCAAAATATTTATAAAATTATAAAATATAAAATACCTGCGAGGTTTGTTGCAAATCCGTGTTTTATTATATGGATAAACGTTCCAACCAATAATAAGTGTTCCTGTATTATCCATACTATATTATTATATTTATATTTAAAAATTTACATTGAATTTCGTTGAATAAGATTTCAATATAACGGGAAAATTCATTTTTTAGATTGTGCAGTTATGGAGACCAAATCAATATAATCTGAATTAATTCCGATCGAATATTACAATAACAAAAAAAAACTCGAACAAAAATTAATTTTTTGTAAAATAAAATTTACTTTTCATGAACCGGACAGATAAATACTTCGAAAAGATATAATTTTCGAAAAACGGAAAACCTCAAACAAACAAAAAAAAATCCAAAAGAAAAAATCGAAACTGAATCTCATATAATCAGATGAAAATTTTACAAAAGAGTTTCACAAACTTTACACCAAGTGATGAACCAACCTTCATTCATATCAGCAAATGACCCAAAAAAACAACCAACCAACACAGACATCATCATAATAGTATCCACCAACGATGATGTCCTAACCATCTTTTAAAATTAGATCACCTCGGGCAAGCCGATCTGCCGGAAAATACGAGTTTCCGGTAACGACTACCAGGTGCACTGCACAAGCGGGAGAGTTAACTCGTCGCAACGATATAAGGAAGTAAACTGTGTCGGGAGAGAGATCACTGAGACAGGAACTGACCGGTTACGGACGTAGATTTACGGGTATGCATCCGAATTCTTGCTTTTCGGGGAAGGTTTTACTAACCAAGAGTCGAGTTCTTTGCTTGTAGCACGTCGGTGGTGACTGGTCAGCAGTTTCTGAGGTTGATGATACAAGGCTCGTAGCCTTCCTATCTCCCTTTCGAGTACTTCCTGTTCCACTGGATAAACAAAAGAAGCTCGTGAGCTGTACTCGCTATCAAGATGTATAGACTTTTTTTTCGAGTCAAAAGCTGATCCATACGAAGAAGATTCACATTATGTAGCCAACTAGTACGTTAGAATGTCAATCGCTTTCTCATAGTCATAAACTTGAAAAAAACTCTGTTCTACTCTTCCAATCACTTCCATAAATCAGATGAGCACTTCACTGATTTCAGTCTAGTATGTCCACAATGCTCGGGGTGAAAAAAGATTAAAAAGAACCACGTTGACAACTCAAATGAACCTATCAAACCCTCTCATTCTCCCTGACAATCCTTCAGAAAACTCGTGGCAGCATTTCATTGTGGTTTATGAAACAGTAATTACAGTTCTTCTCGTGCCTTGATATGCACAATAACTATAAAAATGCCAATAACGCAGCCACCATAAGTCTGGTTCCTATTCAATTTATGGACAAGTGAAAAAAGAAACAGCTATGAACTTCTACTTCAGACAAAACTAGGATCTACTAAAAACTAAAAAGAATCTCATCCCAATGGAGTACAGAGAAACTTACAGTGTTTGATGAGTTTCTCCTGAGCTAAGCTTTCCAACCTCTGCTTAAGCGCTTTATTCTCCATGCTCAGGACAAGATTCCGCTGGTTGAGAAAATCGAGCTCAGCTGAAACTTCAGAGCCTTCTGCCTATGAATACAGAAAGAAAAAAGAAAGTTCTCCTTCAGTATTTTGAAGCACATACTCTTAACATATTGTTCACTACTCTTTTCTCCGAAAGTAAAAAAGGTTTGGTAGAGCCTTGCCTGCAATGCTTGAACATTCCTTTCCAACTCAGCTATGTATTGAAGCTTACGCACTCGTGACCGTTGTGCAAATTGTCTGTCAGCAAACAGAAACTAAGCATGTGATGCAAAGTGAATTTAAATCCAACGCAACTCAATTTGAAACAGAAAATCAGCTACTGAGGATGGGATAAATAATGCCTCCCATCAAAAAGCAATTCGAAAGCATAATAAAACACGAGGACAAGTGAACAACTCACTTACTGTTTGACACGTATTGTATTGTCTGCCTCAGGAGTGATAGGCTTAGGATTGTGGTTCAGTTTCTCAGGAGAAACCTTTGTCGGATCATGAGAAAGGCTTTCTGAAGAGTTCTTTGCCTCGGTTGGCAAAAATGTTACCGAATCTGCTTCTTGAGACATATTAAACGCTCCTCTGTTTTGGGGGCCAATGCTTTCTCTAGCGAAAGGAAGCCCATTAGGACGAGCCCCAGAGGCGACCAAATAATCCCACGGTATATTCCTCTGTTTTACAAAACCAGAATCAGAGTACAAGGAGACGTCCTGAGCATTTTTACTATGATCAAACTCCGGAATTCCTCCTTGAGGTGCAGAAACCATACTCCTATGTTTGAAATCATTCAGAGTCAAACTAACATTCGAGGCGTTAACCGCATCTTGATATGCAAAAGAATCGCTTGATGAACGCCGATGACCAGATCTGCGAGCAGGAGACTCTGGCTCATTGAGAAGGTCATCAAGCCAAGAAGGCTGTTCTTCTATTAGATGGCTTTCAGAGGATGTCCTCTGGTGGTGAGCCTTTTCCCCTCTAGGCCTCTGAACAGGTTTTGATCCGATAAAACCACTAGGAATATATTCGGCATATGATGCTGAAACACTAGGAAAAGGAATTTTTGGAGGAAGTAAAGCATGTTTTCCCGGGTACATCAAGTTCCTAACATTCTGCGATCCCTTGGAGCTAGCCATTGCCAACCTACTGCACCTGTCTGTCTGCCAAACAACAGTAAAAGCTTGCTCACTGATTCACAGGACCGTCTCATAATAGCGAAAAAAAACATTTTCATAAAAGCAAACCTAACTAAAAGTTTCCCAAAACATATATCAGAGAGCAGGAAAAAGAAAAGAAGAAAAATCAATATTATGCCTAATAAGTTCATATAATAGTAAATGGCATCGAGGGTCCAAGCATCATCCGAAGATTTCTTTACTCGAACAAGAGAACCATAAAATTCCATGACCAGTACAAGCCATTCCAAATCAAAACAAAGAACAGGAGGAACAAACATTAAAAGTAAAAGACAGATTCAGCTATCCGAATTACTGTGTCAATCGCCTCAAACCAAAGCATTTTCTAGGGAACCTTCAAGCACAAATTAACGTATGTATACCGTATAGACAGAAAAGTTTAGTTCTTTGTCCGAATGTTTTATTCTTCGGTTTAATAATAAGAAAAAACACTCACCTATCGCAATCTGATTTAGCTACGACAAGAACAAAGTGTCAACTACGACAAACTAGTTCTTTCAAGCATAACACATCTCCTCTTTTCCCGCATTTTCGCAGCAGCCAAACAATGAAATGAACAGAGCACAAACGGTAACAACGCTTGCTATGTAAAATCCAGAAAATTAAACCCCTAAAGTTAGATTTCAGAATCTTCTTCTGTACCATCCAGCAATGCGTCAAACGAGGCTACAGATACCCAAAATAAGAAACAAATTTGAATCACACAGGGCAGAATAAAAAGAGATTCAGATTCGTTTTCCAGTCATCAGTCCCGACATTCATTCCACTTCTCGACAACAGCTGAGTTGAGAAAACGAACAACTAACCAGTCGGAGACAAAATGGAGAGCTCGAATCTTATGCCGAGACTGAAATCGAACCGAAGAAACGCAAAGAGCAGAACAGCTTCTCTCTCTCTCTCTCTTTCTATATGTTATCCGGAAATTTCCTCCGGTCGATTCTTCTTCTCGACGCTCTCTTATCGTTGAAGAAGACGAAAAACTTTGTGAGGACGAAGAGAGACAAATTTGGGAATTTAGTCCCGAAAAGTAAAAACCCAAGACTTCCCCTTTTGCCCTTTGCGTTGATACTTTTTAATTTTAAATTCGCCCTAAATACTTTATTCTATTTTAAATTTGCCCCAATATTTATTTTTCTGCGCGGAATCGAGATTCAAACATCAACAAAAGTGATCACCAACTAGGATCGTTGGAAAGATCGTGGTTTTTTTTTTTAATTATTATTATTTATGGTAATCTTTTATTTATGATAACAATGTATGATATAATAACAAATATGTCACATATGTATAGCAGCCCATATCGCCAATCTTTGAGCATATAAGATTTTATTTTTTTTCGATATCTTGATACATAAAAATTTTGTGAACTTGGGATTGTAAATAAAATTGGTCAATAAAAGTGCATCATTTCATATATAAAACTGATTTAAATATATTTTTTATAACATATATTAACATAAATCAAATAAAATTTAAAAAATATAGTCAAATTTTAATAAAATTAAATATGAAGATAATTTAGATAGTAAAATTTAATAAATATATTTATTTAAGATTGAAAATTTTAACAAAATTTAAAGAATGGAAACCGGTCCACATTCGATATGTTAAACACTACAGTTAACCATTATTTTATTTAAATAATGGGCAAAAGTAGTTCTACTATGTACAATATGTAGATAAAATTAAAATTCGTTTGATTTATTTACATTAATAGTAAAAAATATGATGTTCATCCCATGATTGAAATAACCTATAATTTGGTGTTGTTTGTTATTTTCAGTAATCTTTTTTTATTCTAAAGTTTGTTCAATGCTAATCATTTCATTTGAAGTTTGTATGTAACGTTTTTTATTCGCTTTAGTTAATAATATTACTAGAATATTTTAAAAAATGTTATTATCCACTTGTTACTTTCTCGAATAAAATGTTTATTTATCTTGTAACGTAATTAAAAAATAGAAAAAATCGTTTTTTATTCGGATACATAAACATACATGATCTAATCCAATCAAATCGAAATCTGAAATATATTTGTTAGCAGAGCTCAGTATAGTTTTCAGTGGTTTTGGGTTATATTTAAGTTGTCATGTAATTGCAATTTGCGAGGGCAAAAAAGTATAAAACCAAATCATTATAATATCGAAAGTGGCATAGACATAGACATAGACATAGACATAGACAAACTAGTAAAAGATCTTTTGTTTGTGATTGCCTAAGATTATGTTTTAGCATATGGATATATATATATATATATAAACATTATATATGTATGTATAGTGAATGGTGAGTTGGAAGTGATCTGTTAACTACAGGTAAAGTGCAACAAATGTGGAGCAAGTTGTCAAGTAGACTAACCAAAAAGATTTGGAAATTAAATTAAATAATAAAAATATTATATATTATATTATAATGCAATAAAAGACAAAAAAAAGGTTTTGTAATCTCGTATTTTGTTTCTCCAACATGTCTCTTTGGGCTTCAATAAACCTTGAAATTGTTTATGTTTTATCATTGATCACTATGTATTAAAAAAAATTTATTTATTATTTTATTCTCAATTGGAATATTGTCCTACATATATAATAATATTTTTACAATAATTTTCTGGAATTCTTTGGAATAATTTTTTATAAAATTTTTAAAAACCGACAAAGCTTATAAAATATAGACTAAAAACTTAAATTTCACTGATGATCTTTTGACATAAAATATTGATAAGCTATAAATAATTAAATATAATATTATATAATGAGTATGATTTATAGAAAATTCTATGAACTCTATAAACGAGTTAGGTAACTTACTTTTGGAAGTCTAGTAATTGATATTTTGATGGGAATGTTTTTTTATAAATAGAACGAATCGTTAAAAATTCACGAATAAATAAATAAATGTATATTTATATAAATAACCTAATTATTTAATATATATATATATATATTAACATATTATAGAATTTCTAACAAAAAAATAATATCATTAAAATATACCCGTTTTAGAATAAATATCTTCAAAAGTTTCCAGCATAAAATATAAATATTCTAATTCCTATTTAATTATATTATTATTTTGATAAAAATTTGGTACGCATGTACTCATATCAAATTTTTTTAATAATTTGTTTATTTGTATAAAATGCATATTTTTATTTGATGGTCATTTCGGATTCAATTCTGTTGTATTAGATTCACTTATTTCGATTATAGATGGGTTATAAAAGACTATAACGATTCAATTTTTATATTTCTATTGTTTTTTTAGATTAGATAAAAATCATAACTATTAGATGTTTGTATCGTAATCGGTTCAATTCAATTCGATTACAGTTATATTTTATTAGATTTGATAAAATTACTAACCAAAGTGGCCATCTAACTAATTGTATGTATTCTTAAAGATTCGTACCGGATATTTCTAGTGTAGTAATAGGAGGTGAAGGAGATTACGACCAATAAAGCCCGAAACATTCAGCCGAGTCGGCTAAAGCTTGGGCCGAAACTGAGCAGCCCATAAATTAGGGATAATAGCAGATGAGCCCTTATACTTTATATTACTTTCTTTTAAATCCTAAACTCTTTGTTATCACAATAACATCCTTGATGATGTATCACTCTCAGTGTCTCGTAGTAGGGGAGCTATTTTCCTTTGTATGGTGTGTGTGTGTGTTGCAGAGACCCCAGAGAAACCCTAGAGGAATATGGTGAAGCTAACGGCTGACTTGATCTGGAAAAGCCCTCACTTTTTCAATGCCGTCAAGGAGCGTGAATTGGATCTCCGAGGCAACGTTCTTCCCCCGAACTTTTTCCTAGGGTTTTTGGGCACCCTAGCTCGTGCTCTAATACTGTGTATCTCCTTGCAGGTAACAAGATTTCCGTAATCGAGAACCTGGGTGCTACTGAGGTACTTTTCGTCTTTCGATTTCGCGGCATTTTTCCTGTGTTGTCTTCTTCGCGGCTTTGATTCTGGTTCAAAATTCAAATGCTTCGAGGCAATGTTGGTTATTGCTTGCAAAGCTACAGAGAGAAACTGAGTCGAATTCTTAATTTGGTGGTGTTTGGTTCCTTTGTATATTTCTTCCTCTTCGTTAGGTGCATTTTCCCATGCATTCAGGAATGTCTGTGAGTTATGATGGTTTCTTTTGGAAGCTGTGGAATAGATTCTCGTGGTAGATTTTGGTGCAGAGTGTTGATTCATCCTGCGGTTTTCTTCTGACCCAGAAGAATCTTGTTGTTTCAGACAGACCTTGTCTCTCTGAAATCTGCTGTCTTCATATCACATTTCGTATTGTAAATCATTGGTGATGCATGTGATAGCTCTAACCTTTTCTGATTTGTTTCCAGGACCAATTCGATACAATCGATTTGTCAGATAACGAGATAGTTAAGTTAGAGAACTTCCCCTACCTCAATCGCTTGGGAACTTTGCTCATAAATAATAACCGGATCACCCGAATAAATCCCAACATTGGAGGTTAGTTATTCTTCATGTATGTGTGCTCTAATGATGAACCATCATCAGATGATGTCCGGTTCTCATACATATGGATTTGCTTTTGCAGAATTCCTACCAAAGCTACACTCCTTGATTCTTACAAACAACAGGCTTGTGAACTTGGTCGAAATTGATCCGCTTTCATCCATTCCAAAGTTGCAGTACCTTAGTTTACTGGATAGTAACATCACCAAAAAGCCAAATTACCGCCTTTATGTGATTCACAAGCTAAAATCACTTCGAGGAGGAGGAAGAAGCAGAGGAAATGTACCGTTGAGAAGGCCATGGCTTTGTGATTACGGAGATGCTCGCAATGGGAACTTATACACGTTCATGGCCCATGAAATAACGAAAATACCCTTGGATTGTATTTATGATGGATCGATATTTAATTTGGCATATAGATAAATGCTTATACATAAAGTTTAGGTATATTTATAAATTCTATATATAACGCAAAAAATCATAATTAGAATTATCATTTTTATTATATTTTTTTACTAAATTTAATACGTAAACCCTCACAATTTATTCCATTCATAAGGTTTCTTTTACCACTCGTCAAATTCCGTTCTTTCCCTCATTCTCTGTTCAGTTTTGCTTACCCTTAAGATTCCTAGTTATTGAAGTTGTCTGTCTTGAAATGAGTTATCCTATCTGGAAAAAGGGGATACCTCTGAGAGAGGAGGGTGTTTTCCTTTTTCAGCTTCGGTTGACCAACCGTTTCTGTACAGCTGAATTAGAAAATGGTGATGGTTTCTTTTATAATATATACATTTAAATGTCAACATTTCCAATGATATTTGGATTTTGACGTGATTGGTTGACACGCTCTCTTAAAGCTTTAGAGTTAAGCAGGTAATAAAATCTTTAATCTTGTGGTGGGCCATAGTTTTTTTTTTTTATTTAGTTGATTTATTTAAGTAGGAGATGACCTTATGAAAGATTGGCTCACTCTGAATCATGAGAAATGAGCATCTTCCTGGTTGTTTTGATTCTCGGTTTCATTTATCTCTCCAGTAAAGTAGTAATCGACTCTCACTTCTGTCTGTATTGGAAAATAGAATTACAGGAAATGGGCTCTAGATGATGATGCCTATTAGCAAAGAAAGCCATTTCAATGATTTTGTTTTTGGGTTCGTATCAGGAAAGGGCTGAAGCAGCAAATTTGTTTGCAACTAAAGAAGCTGAAGAGGAGGTGAAGAAGGTAGCTGCAAGAACCATTACTCAGGAGGAGGTTCAGAATGTGTCTGATACTTCAGAAAAACAAGAGGGTCCAAAAGTTGTTGCCCCTACACCGGAGCAAATCATAGCTATCAAGGTGCGATGATTTGATGTTTCCAGCATGCCGAGGTATCCATGAAATAAGATCGGTTCCCGAGGTGGAAACCAAAATAAGCACCAGTAATTAATTTCTGGGGGGGGGGATAAATGGGAAGTGGAAGTGGAGACTGAATAGAAACTGGCTATACTCTTGTGATTCGATTATGTTTATTGAGGACATGAAGCCTGTGTTGTTTGATAGTAACAATGGTGATTTATTTCCATGATGTCCCAGGCTGCAATTGTTAACTCCCAGACGCTAGAAGAAGTTGCAAGACTTGAACAGGTCCCTTCCCTCTCTTACCAAGTTTGTTGCTGTTCTTTTGCTTAAGGTTATTTCTGACTGTACCCTTTTCATTTGGCTTTTGCACAAGCAGGCTTTGAAGTCTGGTCAGCTTCCCGCAGATCTGTTAATTCCGGATGATAACCCTAATTCGATAAAAGGCACAGAAAATGAAAAGCCCACTTCTGGTGATCAAAGCATGCCTGATGCCCCAAATGGGCAAAAAGAGAACGACGGGTCTGCTTTGATGGAGGTTAGAGAGAGTTTCTCAAAATGTTTTGTTCCTTAAATTGGCGATTTGGTGGTTGTAGAAATACAATACGGTTAAACTATTTACATGCAGCTTATGGTTCAGTATGCTTCACCTGATTAACATTAGAGAGAAAGAGGAACCCAGATATGTGTGGATAATCAGTGAAGCATAATGAACTGTTACTAGTTACCTCTCTGCTGTTTAATGCCGGGTTTCTAAAATCACTTAGAAATCTCGTTGGAAATCGCAGTAACGTCCTTTGTTGGTAAGCTTTCTGTGCTAAAGTTTCTTCTTTTCCCCCCTGTTTCAGGAATAGAAAGCGTGGATGTTGCTCCTCGAAAAATCAGGGTTTACAACTGGCTCTGACAGCCTTTGTGGTTGCTGCGGTAAGAGATTTTCTGTCACTTCTGTAGGAAGTTAGGAACAATTTTTTTGGCTATAGAGCAGAACCTGCAAACTGTTTTAATGGAGTTTTTTCACCTTCACCTTCACGGTCGTGATATAAATTTAATATGTGGGTTCATATCAATGGATGTGAAGAAGAAGAAGAACTGTTAGGTTTCAATGTCTTGTCTACTTGTCTCTTAAAAGTGGCTGTTTTTAAAATTAGGCGATCACGACTTGAACGAGAGACATTCGCATGTTGTTTTTCCTGTCTTGTTGAATTCAACATATATGGATTTTTTGCAATATAAATTTGATACGTCCCAATGAGCTTATGTCCTTAACATAATATATATGTATATACACACACACACACATAATGCATAATATACACATACTTATCTCTATGATGTTCGTATTTCATGGGTGGGATTTTTTACATGTAGCATCTTTAGTGATGAAAAAGAGCATGCTTTAATACACGTCTTATTTAAATAAAGATTTATTTTAGTTCCCCTTGGTTATACACACATGCTGGATTTTGATCCATCTTTTTTTTTCTTCTAAATGGAATAATTTGAATTCCATTTCATGGGCTAGTATATACACTTTGTACACAGATCAAAACCAGCCCAGTTCAAGCCGAATATACATACATATTACTCCAATCCAATCGGTCACATAATATGCACAAATGTACAAGAAACCAAGAAATTCCATTTTTTTTCGCATCTAAAAAGCCGATTGTTTCAAGTGTTTGCAACAGCAGATCGGATTCCGTTAGCAGAATCAACATTTGGATCCAGATGCTCATCGCTGGTACTCGGGTTTTCGCCGTTTCCCCTTAGGAAACATATCGAAATGCTGATCAAAATGAGAGAAACGAGCCCGACAACCGAAAGAACAATACGTAGAACAGATGGACCTACAAGAAAAATCAAGACATGTAGAAGATCTCATGTACCAATATCTTTGGAACAAGAAGACACGAACACACGGGAACATACAAGATATAAATACTTACCAGAATCGTCTTTAAAGTTGCTTTGATATGAATTGTCTTCTCCAAGTCTCCTGGGGAATTCGTGGTCGAATGTCTCCGTACGATATGATCGTGTGAAATGGGCAGCGGAAACAATGGAGAAAAGAGCGAGAAAGCGAAATAAACACGAGAATTTGGTAGCAGTTTCCATGTTCAAACTATGGGGAATTGATCAAGCACCAAGTGTAGGAAACTTCTGTGGATATATTACTTGCTCGAAATGAAGAAAATGTCTAAACAATCTTCTTTGACTATACAAAGATTGCTAGTTCTAGATATTAACATTTCATTTTCTTATAAAAAAAAGGAAGAAGAAGAAGAATGCGTCAGTCGTGTTATCCCATAAACTAGTTTTAACATTCGTAATGTTCGTGTGCCGTTATATAATTGTTTCGAATGCAAATTGGAACATCATACGAGGATTTCCGTGTTCGGATAGCCGGTACAAAAAATCTAATCACGGACGATCTGCACCAGTACAACGACCATTACAAGAATTTCTCGTTTAGGACAAACCAGAGGAAGAAGACAATTACATTACAGACATTGGAAACAAATCATTACAGATCTCAGAAAGAGGAATTCGAATCGATCCCTCTTAGTTGCAGTTCTCATAAGCGATTCCGATGCGAGAATTCGGGACATCGAAGAGGATCCTTAGATTCTGCTGCTGGAGATTCGCGATTACGTTCAGGACAGAGTCGACGTTGTTGGGAGCAGAAGCCATTGACAAGCAAGAAAGCGATCCTGCTGAGCTGTGGATGAGAGAGTTCTCCATCGGCAGCGTTAGGTCAAGCCCCGTCATGTGCAGCGTTATCTTCGGTGCAGCGTTATCTGCGTTATCGGCTGTGAAACACGTGTCGAACGCTCCTAGCGTTGAGAACGGCCCTTTCACCTTTTTCACCGCACCAAAATTTCTAAATCAGGCCCATTATTTTTCATATTTTCATCAATAAACCCAATATTAAATCTCTACAGAAATCATACACAGCGAATTTAACTTTAATAATATACCTGCTTCCTGAACTCGTCCCTAATGGCCTCGTAAACGGGCTGGACGAAACGGGTAATCACAGTGCCGGAGTCTACAATCGTACCGGCGCCGGTATTCGGGTCAAACCCGAGATATTTCGGGTCAACCGGTACACGGGTCCGACCCACACTAACTCCGGTGAGATTCACGTAGTAAAGCGACGGCCTGTGAGGGTTCTTCAGAAGCGGCGTCGTTTTGATTGACCCGGGTTGACCCGCCCGACCCAGTTTCAACGAACCCGAGAAGTAAAACGACCTGAAACTGGGAAGACAGTACGAGAACACTCCCGAGTAAAGCGACGTCGTTTGGGTCATCAGTGACATGGGCCCACGGCCCAGGCCCAATAACCCCTGCGGTGGGATCGACGCGCCGCCGGACGTGACGGCGGTGATGCATCCGAAGGCGAAGCCGGGGATCTCGTCGGAGGATAAAGCCAGCGTGTCCTCCACGAGCGCGGCGGAGAAGGCGGATCCTCCACCGTAGGTGTGGTTGAAGGAGCATGCCGCCGGCGACGGTGATGCTGTCGTGGACGACGGACACGTGAGGCCACGTGCCTGTGCGCACTGAGCGGTGGAGCAGGAGAGGGAGGCGAAGGGGAACGCAGTTCCAGATGTGACGGCTGGAATCTTTAAAGCGTGCCTACTAATCAAACTTTCCAGACTGCTCAATAATATCTTGAAGTCCTTAGCAGAGACAAAGACACGGCCATCAGACTGCTGAAGTTCCATAGGACCAGAGACAATTTGAAGCTTATCATCACTCTCATATGGATCAGTGGTAGCAAGAATTGTCCACTTTGATTCAGAAAAAAATAAAGTGATATTTCCATGAATGTAGTTTCTCATATCATCCCACCATGGTAAGCTTCTTTCCTTTTTGGCAGCTTGGGGGGCACCTGGATGCCTATGACTGAGATTAGCTCTACGGAGTGCAACGGTGAAAGCATAACTAATATCCGCAAAAGCTGGTTCATATCCAACTCCAAAAGAAATTTCTCCTTGTTGAAAGAATATGCGCAGATCTGAGTATGTCTTCATTGGTGGAGTAGTGCCACTAGCTGAGCTGAGCGGTGGAGCAAGAGAGGGAGGAGAAGGTGGAGGAGGAGTTGGGGTTGACCTCGGCGGTTGCGGCGGAGGGGCAGCCCGAGCAGCCGGTGCAAGGGGCCCAGGCGGCGTCGGAGCTGGTGTCGAGGACCATGAACATGAGCTGCGGCGGAGTTCCGAGCTTGGCGCGGACGACGTAGTTGCCGGTGTGGAGGAGCTGGTTGCCGGAGCCTATGGGAACGGAGTTGGGGTTGGGTTTACCGGCGACGAGGCTTGTGAGGTAATTGAGGCGGTGAGGGTCGTTTGAGGACATTTTGACGACGGTGTCGAGCAATGAGCCGCCGTGGTCGGCGGCGAAGGGTGAGCATTTGGCGTAGATGGGGATGACGGAGAGGTCGCCGGAACCGTCACTGAAGGCGTTGCAAGGGTCAACAGACGCGTTGGTTACACGCGCCGCCGGGAGACCCAAGAAGAGGAGGAAGAAGCAGAGGAAATGTACCGTTGAGAAGGCCATGGCTTTGTGATTACGGAGATGCTCGCAATGGGAACTTATACACGTTCATGGCCCATGAAATAACGAAAATACCCTTGGATTGTATTTATGATGGATCGATATTTAATTTGGCATATAGATAAATGCTTATACATAAAGTTTAGGTATATTTATAAATTCTATATATAACGCAAAAAATCATAATTAGAATTATCATTTTTATTATATTTTTTTACTAAATTTAATACGTAAACCCTCACAATTTATTCCATTCATAAGGTTTCTTTTACCACTCGTCAAATTCCGTCATTGTTGTTCAAGAAGTTTTAGAAGAGTTGGTATAAGGAAAATAATAATGGTAATAATCAAATCAAACCATTGATATTTCAATTGGAATGTATTCATGATTTGGTATGATGTTTTGCAACAGGATTAATCGAAATCGAATAAAGAAAACAATTACAAAACAATTTTGTTTATGAAATCCGATTCTAAAAAAGATTAATCTTTGGGGAATTTCTTTGGAATTTTATAACATAAATTAGGGTTTAAATCACGGGTAAGTCGAGAAGTCACGTGGACGCAAAACTGTGAAAGTAGGGACGAAGAGCGT